TGAGCTTCTACTCAGGGTTTTTTCTTCCAGTTCAGGCCGATCACCATAACGGTCGCACGACTGAAAAATCGGCTCAAAATGGGCCAAAAATCGCACAGTGTAAGCCCAGCATTAGGACAGAGAGGGGCCTATTCGTTTTCTGGTCACAAAATAATAATGTAGCCATTCTACAAAGAGCAAGGATCCGTAAGAGTAGAGCTGCCTTCAATGGGTGTGGCTGATGTTTTGCCTAGTTTAAGTTTATTCAAGTAGTGTTTCGTCAGAGGAAGTAGGTTAGGCATTCAGACACAACCGGTTAGAGCTAGATCAGTCTGTCAAACCAGTTTATTGCATGTTAAGGTAACAATCTCTGACCATTAGGGATTTCTTGAAAGGCACTATGAAAATCAAAGTTATTATTATTATTATCATCAATACTAATAATAAACAGAGTGCCAGTCTAGACTTCCTGTACAAGGGTAACTGGTCAATCTATAAAGGCTAGGTTTGATTTGCCATTTAATTTTATGTAATCTTTAGAAATTCAAGAATGTGAAACTACTTCATCTTCAGTGCTCTTACCTAGTTCAGTTAAATTTTCTTCTGTTACACTGTCAAGGAAATCTCTTTCATCTTTCACTCCTAGATCTAGAAACTTTCTGTAGTGACCTTCCAGTCTGTGTCCTTTGAGTAGGTTGTAAATGGCAGCCATCTAAAGTTGACAAATGCAACAAAACAAGAATATTTCAAATGTAAATCGCAATTACAATTCACACAGATATATTCTAAAAATATAGTTTTCAGTTAATAGTTTAACTGTAGAAATCTTACCTCGATGCACTCAAGATCAAGTACAAGAACAGCAATGAGTTTTATTTTCTCTTTCCTTCTGGAGTGGAGTAAACAGCTGGGGTGGAGTTTCACGAGTGGAGCTGTGAAACTACTTCATCTTCAGTGCTCTTACCTAGTTTAGTTAAATTTTCTTCTGTTACACTGTCAAGGAACAGAAGAAAATAGCCCCACCCCATGGGGTGGAGTTTCTTTTGTTTTTGCAAGTTTCTTTTTGTTTACTAGAAAAGAAACTTGCCATCAAATATTGCTTGTTAACACTGGATATGTAAAACAGAAAGCAACTTTGTCAACAGATTTAAGTTTTCACTTAGTTTTAACTGGTATCATTTTAGGGTGACATGTCTCATAAAAAGTACAGGGCTATTTAAGCATTTGTAAGTGTCACTGAAATGGCTTATGGACACACCTAAACAACACACCTCTACTGTCGTGGACCCAGCCCTCTCCGTTGGTTCTGTGGTCTCCCTCTCTTCTTCTTAAGGCGAGGGTGGACAGCCATTCAGAGCTCAATTTTTGACCTACCTCATCAGTGAAATCCGTGCTCTTCCTAGTTGAAATTAACTAAGGTCCCTGTTGGCTTCAAGGAGTGATGTGTGTTTCTCCTGTGTACAGGTCTGTCCTGCTGTTCTGTTACCTGGTGAATAGTAAGAGAGAGTACACCTGAATAGTGAGAGTGATTTTGTGTGTCGTGTGGATCGGATGTTGTCTTCCTCCCTCCTGATCCCTATCAGGATTACCTTTGTTCTGCACATTGTATTATCTTCTGTTATTTGTAATTAAACCTTCAAAATCTTAGATACGAGTCCTGCCTCCAAGTCCCGCTCACCTGCTCCAGACGTGACATCTACAATCTACAACCTGGAATGGAGGTAGCGGTGAAAAAGTTCAAATAATATTTGTTGTATTGAACTTCTTTCCTTATGTGTGCTGATAAATTAACAAAGAAGTTTACACTTTACCTATTTTTCACAATGTATAATACAATAGCCTTTATTCTATTGTCATTGTATATATATAACGAGCTGAGGTGGGAATTAAACAAATACAAATTCATCACTGTACTTAACTACAATTTTAGGTTATCAGTACTTTACTTAAGTAGTTTTTTTTCTGACTACAAATAAATGTACTTTCTACTCCTTACATTTTCAAAACAGGTTTTGGTTTAGTGCATTTGACGGAAGTTCTTTATGTGGGCTGGGTCCTTCGAAGGCCGAGAAGGACAGAAGTTTTTATTATAAGGCTGGATGAAAATATAGACCGTTCAGTACAGTTCAGTGCAGGCTAAAGTAGCTGGTTTGCAGTGTTGTGGTAAAGTTTACAGTAATGCATGTTGTACTGGTGCAGTGCAAGCTATGGTTTTGATGGTCAATGTTACACCAAGCCAAGTGAAACTGTGCTTATCTCTTTAAGCTTATCTGTGCGATTATGTTACTGAATTCAGTTAAGACTGAAGCTTACAGCACAGCTCAGGTGATCACAGCCTGTATGCAAAAACCCCCCCAAACAAATATACTGTAGCTCACAAAACAGGTCTTTTTACAGGTCTTCTTTCTAGTCAATGTCCCTCATGCTTCACTGTTACACTGGACCTTAGGGTACCCAACATGTAAAATCTCACATTAACCCATGAATACAGCAATTAGTACAACTTTGATACAATTCAGGATGTGTTATTTAGCTATTTTAATTCCCAGTGATGATTCCCTTTTATTTGATTTCTGATAATAATGGATAGTTATGGATGAATAAGGCCATGAAAAAAGGAGAATGAAAGGAAACCGCGCTGTGAGAAAATGCCAATTTATTTTAGCCAATTGCTAAATGCTTTTAGAAAAAAAAAGTATTCCTTAGTCTTTCTAATTAGTTAATTTAGTGCTAACCTATTTTAAACAAATCTTTTCTATTACCTGAACAATCAGTTAATAGACAAAAATAAACAATGGTGAAAGCCAGATCATGAAAGACTTTGATTAGTCAAAAATCACAAATATTAGCTTCTTTTTTTTGTTATCTAAATGATCTGACCACCCTACCAGTGTAATTTATGTTTGGTAGCAAGATTTATAACAATTTTGTTTGGATGAACTGTTAGTGTAAAGCAGTGGTTCTCAAACTTGTTCTGGCATGTCCTGCTTCAAAATATTCATGCCCCAATAATATTTTTTTATGTATCACTAACAATAAAAACGGTTCAAAATGAATTGTAAAATCACTTAAATACTGACCTAATTTCACTTCATACTGTTTACCTAGCTGTCAGTGCCCCACCTGCAGGGGCTCCACGCTCACTGAAACTGAGTGAAGCAACTCAACAGAAATGACGCAACTGCTCCAAAAGCTACTTTTTGACTGGTGCAAAACAGCAGATGTTTTTTCCTGACTTACTGAGAGATGAAACTGCACAGCTGCTCACACATATGTGACAAATTGTGACTGTAACATTCACTGATGCACATTATTTTTTTAATCCAAGGCTCTAAAGTAGAAAGTACAAATGTAAAGAAAACGAAAGCTTAAATGATTGAATTGAATCATGTGCTCCTCTCACATATAGTAAGTGGTACATAGATGAGGCTGAGCAGGCCTCATCTATGTCACCTCATGGGGACTGAAGCGTCTATAATCAGTCTTGATAATGAATAAACCACTCAGAATATTATGTAACCCCATGACCATGCTGCAATGTCTCTCAGCAGTGTTGCCAATTTTACTTGCAGTTTCTATTTTCTTGCACTTGAAAATTTTCATCAGTTCCTGAGCATCCTTGGATCTGCCCTTGGGCAGGGCCACCACAGCTTCACGCATGTGGAGCTAACTGGGGCAATCAGGCCAAAGGGGATTTAGGCTCTGCGCTGTCATTTTTTCCCTGCCAGTTCGTCACCTACCTGATGTTGGTAACCGGCTCTTACGTTCATGTTTCTACTATCAAATAGGTTGACTTACATTATTTCTTGTGCTCCAGGACTTTCTCCAGCGCTGACTGCTGCTCACCTCTTGGATCTCGGTTCGTACCCACTCATTTGGAAATATCTCCAGACCTCACCTGCCTGCCCTCCTGCCCGCTTACCACTTTGGATCCAACAGACCCCAGGTCAGCCGTTTCACCTTCTCAAGCTCCGAGGAATTACATAACTTCACCTCCACCTCCTGCAAGTGTGATGTTTACAGCATTTTATTTTGAAAGGTCGAATGTAAGGCGGAAGGAGGATATACAAAAAAGGAAGACAACAGAAAACGGTAGATGAACAAGTTAGCGCTGCAGACTGTGTTGCCGCTGCAAGCCTGAGAATTAAAGAATGGAACTGAGAAATACTGAAGGTGTCATCATTAATGTTTGAGGCATGCAAACATTACATTGGCGACGAGAGTAAAGGTTACAACCAAAGCAAGACGAAGGAAGTTGCCCTACCCGGAGCTTAGGAGACAAGAACATGGCTGCACACGCTACTCCACTTCCACCCTTCGACACGGAGACCGACCTCGGTTCCGTCGGACCTTGCTGGACGAAATGGCTTCAGAGGTTTGAAAACTACACCACCGCAATGAATATTACTGGAGATGCAAGATTAAGAGCATTATTGCTGCATGTGGCTGGTGAAAAAGTGCATGATGTTTACGACACGTTAGCAACGGATGGCGACAAGTACGTGGATACAAAACAGAAATTGTCAGCGTACTTTGCGCCTAAGAAAAACATGCAGTATCAGATTTATCTGTTCAGGAAAGCGGTGCAGGAGTCAGGTGAAACGTTGGACAACTATCACACCAGGCTTAGGATTCTAGCCAAAAACTGTGAGTTTGCAGACATGACTGCAGAAATCAAAACACAAATTATCCAAAGCTGTACATCATCACAGCTGCGTAGAGAAGCACTCAGAGAACCTGATTTAACGTTGGATGATCTATTAAATCATGGGCGTACATGTGAGTTGTCTGAATTGCAAGCTACAGGGATGGAAGCTGACAAGACAGCTGCAGTTAATAAAGTACAGCACAAAACAGGACGTGACACCACGGCTAGAAACAAATGGACACCCTCATGGCAGCTGAATAACCGCTGTCGAAATTGTGGAGGCAGATATCCTCATGAGCAAGGCTGCCCAGCCAAAGACAAAATCTGTAATTCTTGTGGCAAATACAATCATTTTGCAAAGCAATGTCGCTCAA